CTCGTGGACCACTCTCGTGGACCACTCTCGTGGACCACTCTCGTGGACCACTCTCGTGGACCACTTGCGAGACACCAGATTTTTGGGGTTTGAATTCTTGACTGTGCATGCAAAAATGTGCTCGAGTCGAGTTCAGTCATTATTATCATTGTGGAAACTTTACACAAAATGTGAAGTTCTAAATCCATTCACTACATGACCGTTCTAAAATGTAAGTGTGCAATTATGACTTTAATGCAAAGTTTCCGAATATATGCCCTTAAAATTGGTAGTTTTTTTTCTCGATCGCTACAGGAAATGCAAGAAAAGCAGTAATCGAGCTTCAAAAATTAATATTTTTGGGAGAGGACCTTCAGGCATTGAAAGGTCATTGCAACTTACGACTTCTACAGTTCAAGTGATTTTTTAACAGTAAAATTCGAATAATTCAGACTCCCCTCCAGATTCTCCACAGTATTCCTATATATTTTAATGGAACCCTGACTACATTTTTTCAGCATTTTTACAGACTTAGTATTCACTGTTCATCAACAAAAACTGAATTGATTGTGAAATAAATAATGGAAATGAATAATGAAATAGTTCCCGCCAATCTCGGCTCTCTAAACTCGGAATAATAGTGCTTGGTCTATTGTTCGGTAGGCGAAATTTCGCAAGTGGTCCACAAGAGTGGTCCACGGGAGTGGTCCGTGGTCCACGAGTGTAGTCCATGGACCAGGTCCACGAAGGTAGTCCATGGACTTGGGGTCCGCGTTTTGTCGTTTCCCCTTTCTCTGTTTGGCTAGTATCAAATGTTTACATTTGCTAATATTGGGCTCTACTCTAGTCCCAGACGGCAGACAATACTATTCTGTTTCTTTCAATCTTATATTAAAACAAGACCCGTAGACGTAGTAACAAGTAATTAAATCGGTGCAAAGCATATAAACATTTACAAGAAAGGACAAATCTCATTTTAAAAACATTACATATGTAGAAATGAGGACTGAAAAGCTCATAATAAACGTTTGTTATACAACCGCGCTCGAGTGTGAAGAGACGGCATTGAATAACAACACGAGAGAGCACTGTGAGTATTAACGATTTTCTTGGTTTCTTGACTTGACTGTTGGTAAAAATGTAAGAATGTTCTTGTAAATTCAAAGCAAAGAAAATAAACAAAAATTAGCAAGTATTTTGAACTTAATAATGTTTTTAACTGTTAAACAAAATATCTCCACTGGAATCATGTAATTTGATACTTTCCCCCCCCCCCTCGGGCGCTAAATTTTGGACGAGGCACGTGACCAGCCCATACCAGGGTATTTCCTAAATACCCTGGGAACGAGGTTGTCTAATCTACAGAATTTTTTTATTTTCAGGGAATAAGATTCCGCATTAAAAGTGAAAGCTATGCAACAGAATAGAATAGAAACTTTTTTTCATGAGGGAAAACGTATTAACTGTAAAAGTTATCTAACATACGGCCCTCACACTATTTTGATATTTACAGGCATAAAAAGTATTAAGGATTACGACTATTTACATTTGAGAAAAAAATAATTAGTAATGAATACAATTACAATTTAGTAAATATTTACAATTTATACAAAATAGATCTTCGATATGGTTAGTAAGGGTAAGCTTGTCAAGAAAGATTTTACGAATTTTTTGTTTGGCGTTAGTATATGAAGAGCAAGATGGCGAAGCAGCAAGTTGCTTACAATTGCTATCTAAGCAATTAAAAAGAATGGAAGCACTGTACAGAAATGTTCGTTTACCAGAGTCAGTACGCGGGAAGGGGGGTTGAAGGTCATATGCGCAAGCTCTAGTCAGAGCCTGTTGTCGAATAGAAGATAAGAATTTAAACATTTGCTTAAATGAAGATGGAGCACTGGGATTTGTGAGAATGTTAATTAGTAAGAGAAGCTTCCTAAATTTAACAAGATCAAAAATTGGGATTATTCGAATCTGGGAAAAAAGAAGAACCGAAGGAGTAGAAAAGTCAGCGTCTAGAATAATACGTGCTGCACACTTTTGCAGTTGAAGAATGCGAAGTAAAAGTGTTTTTGAGCAGTTTCCCCAAGTTACAGAGCAGTAGATAAGACTTGAATTAATACAGGAGTTATAGAAACGAAGAGCACAGTCCTTAATTAAAAAGGGTTTAATCCTGCGTAATAAAGCAAGTCTACTGTCGATTGTTGAACACAAGTTGAAAAACAGTAGTATAAAAATACAGCAGTTAAAAATGGGGTGTCACCGGCAATATTCGGAAAATAAATAATAAAAACCTGCTTAAAATAGCAAAAATACCATTCTTGGCGAGACTACTGTTACCATGGAAACAATATTATGTTCAAGAATATTGCAACCTTTTTCTACCAAATACTTAATTTATACTCAGGAATGCTTAAAATTAACAGATGAAGTGATAAAATTTATAAATTGAAATTTTTACGTAATAAGGTATTTATACTACGGAACTGTATGGAGCCACCTTAAAACAACACTTTAAAACGTTTTGCAATGCGTTTGTGGTTGAATTTTACCTTAAAAGGATACGGCAATATATTTTTAATTATTCCATTTAAAAGAACTTTCAAAACTTATTCCATTTAAAACTTTATTATTTCTTGAAATATTTTGACTTAAAATAATTTGCTGTCCGCCAATCTTGGATTAATTTGTATCTTATTATCAGCAATTTATTATCCCTTGATCTCCTTTGTGTTCTAAATTGATCACTTGACATTGCAGGCACTGTGGAATGACAATATGTGTTGCTCTCAATAAGGTATTGCCAGCGTTGGCAGTTATAAATCTGTTTTGATACAAGCTAAGGCATTGAAAGTAGCCATCTCAATACATGCAGTTTCAACATATTGTATTGTATGTTATGCCATTGCCCAGAGTTTAGTGCAGAAATTGAAGCATCACATCATCTTTCATGGCAATCATAATTTCTTCTTGTGTCAAGGCTTTTGGGACCACATTTGTGAATATGTTGTTACATATTCCTCTGCCACTTTCTCTTCTCTTCTGGTTTGTTTGTTTGTTTGTTTGTTTGTTCTATCAAGATGATGCAAAAGGTAATCAGCAGGGTTGTTTTCACCAGGCTTGTATTTAACAGTAAATTCATATGGCTGTAACTTTAATTTCCAGCATTAAATTCTTGGTGGTGATTGATGGGCTGGATCATTGAACATCGTTACCAATGGCTTGTGATCTGTGATGACAGAAAACGGTTTTCCATACAAATAGAGGTGATATTTCTTGCACCCCCATGTGATTGCCAATGCTTTTCTTTCGATTTGCGAATACCGCTTTTCCACATTCGAAAGTGCTCGACTGGCATAGCAGATAACACAAGGGGTGGAGTTGGCTGAATTCTCTTTCTGGGTCAGACTTGCATCTACTAGTAGCTCAGTGTCTAACAATGGTTGGAAAGAAGCTAACATTGTTTCACTTGACAATGCTTGCTGAATTTCACTTAGGGACTTCTGATGTTCTTCCGTCCAGTGCCATTTGGTATCTTGCTTTGTGATTTCTCAGAGAGGTTTTGCTAAGTCAGCCAGGTCAGGAATAAAACGTCTGCAATAGTTAACTAATCCTACTGACTTCCTTTACTGATTTGGGAACTTAAACATTGCGAATTGCATCTACTTTCTTAGGGTCAGGTGAGACACCACACACAGAAAAGGTATAACCAAAATACACTAAGCTAGACTTGTTGAATTCACACGTTGACTTATTAAGTGTTCAATTATTCTGATGCAAATGCTCTAAGACGCTTTCCAGGTGTTCATCATGTTCATCCTGCATTGAACCATACACGATTATATCATCCCTAATGTTCAACGACCCCAGAACGCCTTCAATTACACTTCGTATTGCTTCTTGAAATATTTCGGCAGCAGAATTGACACCAACATTTAGTCGTTTATAATGCCTTAGACCAACATGGGTACTAAATGTTGTAATATAGCAAGATTCTGGTGCTAACTCTAACTGATGATATCCCTGATTTAGGTCCAATTTTAAGAACACTTTAGCTTGCCCTAATTCAGAAATTATATCATCGATTGTCATATATCATCGGTTGCCTCATGTCCACACAAATACGTACTTCTTGTGGATTATGCGGTTTGGGGATGACTACAATTGGGGACACCCAAGATGTGGGACCTTCTACCCTTTCTATAATATCTGCATCTTCCATTTCCTTAAGCTTTGATTCAACTTGTTTACGTACATGAAATGGTATTATTCTATGGGGTTGGGCGACTGGTTTAACAGTTTTGTCAATATGTAACTTTACTTGGTAGATTTTCATTTTCCCAATTCCGCTAAAAAATCTTTGTATTTGTTCACAAATGGTGGTGGAACAGCGGAGTCTGCATCATGCATTGTTCACCACTGTAACTACTCCTAGTTCGTGGGCTGTTTTGTAACACATCAAAGATCCACCCGCCTTTCTGAACACGTAGAATTCTGCACAGGTAATTTTTTCATGTGTTTCTATAACGGTTTCAAACTTACCAAGAATCTTCAGAGGGACTTCACTGTCATACGAGAATATTTTCGTTGATGACTTTTGCAGGGCGACATCTTTAAGCACAGATAGTCAGATTATTCCATTAAATTAACTGTTACACCAATGTCCACAATGAAATCTACATTGTCTTTGCCAATCATTACCATCATGGTTGAACTTCTAATTCATTATGTTTCACCCCCGATGTCATGAAAACATACTCATCATCCATTGTTCGTTACTTGTTCTTGATCTCTTACTTCCACTTGATTCACCGAACATCTTCACACCTTTTTCTTTTGATTGTTAAAATCCTGGCCTTTGTTCTTATCGTTTTTTTGTGAAATCGCCACACTTTCCTTGCTGTTTTGAACGCCGAACTGCTGCAAAATGATTGTGTTTACCGCAAATGTTACATGTTTTTCCTTGTGCAGGAAATTTACTAATTTTCTTTACCAATTTTCTCAAATAAGTGTGAAATCTGTCAATTGTCTCACTGGTCATTTGTTACAAGAGTTTCATATTCTATATTTTGCTTGATGTGAAATTCAGATTTAGGTGCCGAAACAATAGTGGTTTTGGCACCTAAATCTGAGTTAATTGTGTTTCGGCACTTAAATCTGAATTTCACATAAGCACCATTTCATGTGCGCCTCCAACCATCTCATCTACTTCATCTCTTGCAGCAGATATGGCATGCTTTACATTGGGGAAACTGGAAGATGTTTAAGGACAAGGTTTGGTGAGCATTGGCATGCAGTTATTGGCAATGATGCTAACCAACCTGTTGCCAGATATTTTAATGATGGCAATCACAGTGTTTCAGATATGTTAATCCGAGCCCTCTGTCCCATTTCTGGAAGCAACAATAGGCGCAAACGAAATGAAATGCGCCTCGTATCCAAACTTGGCACTGTTCACCCTTCTGGCATTAATGAACGCTTTTCTTATGTTTAATGCCATCATAGACAATCCATGTCTTCTGGTTTGTCTATGATGCCATCTGTCCTTGCCTGTCTATATAGCAGACATTGACAACATCTATTTATTACTTTTACCTTATTCCCCCACTTGTGTTTTGTTTTGATTATTATTTTTTGTAGTAATTGTCTTAACTTCCTGTTTATTTTTATATTTTTAATTATATTATATTCTGTAATGCGATTTACATATTTTATTTACACTTTGTTATGATTAAATCCATCTAAATGGTTTATTTTGTGGCACATGATGCTTTCATACTCTTAGTATAAAAGCCCGTGTATTTTTCCCCGATCCCTGCTAATAACTCTTGATGAATGGCCTTCGCTCGAAACGTCGAGTTTCTGCTTCTTTTTAAGGTAGTAATATAACCACTCAGCACAGCATTCTCAATAAACTTTGCAGTCTTTGCTTGTGTTTGGTCATCAAATTACAGCAGCTGATATCCAATTACAACAACAATAAAACCATTTAAAAATTATTAAGAGGCTAGCAAATAAATTTAATCCCAAACATATTTATATTAAAGTTATTTCCTTGGCTCTTTTATTCATTTTTAAACTAAGATTCCCACCTTGTGTATCAATAGCTACAATATTAAAACTATTTAGTAATTATGCACATGAATAGTTTAAATGTTCCACTAAACAAGAACTATATGCATGCAATTAAATATTGAAGAAATGTTAACATATATACTTATAGTTCTTACAAGTACTATTAGTTTACATGTCCCTCTGCTAGTATGTTTTGGTTAACTAGTAACTGTTGAATGCTTGCCGAGAATTGGGTTTGTGGCAGGGGTTGTTAGTCATTCTCATCGAGTTGCGATTTTGTGCATAGCATATCACCTTGCCATTCTTGTATTTGATTTTGTCCTTTCTTCACAAACACATGTGTGTGTTTAGATGATCTTGCAATTAACCCTTAGATTGAGCATCTGGCCATGAAATGGTTTCAGCTTTTCTTTAGCATTGACATACCCTTAGTCAGAAAGGGACCACTTTGGATGAATGCCAAGGTAGGTTACCACTGAGCCAGAAAATACATGACTTGATATTTGCTTTGCTTGGTTGTGGTCTTCCTGCATCACAGATATCATTTGTTATGGATCTCCGGAACTGAAAAAATATTATGACAAGAAATAAGAATAAGTTATTTCAACTATAAGGCTTAGATTATAAATGCTGTATTATCTATAGAGTACATGTGTTTTATTACCTCACACAACATATGTTTTTGGCTTTCAACATAGTTGAGATACAATTGAGCTTTAGCCAGCATGTGCTTGTGTACATGTAATGTGACAACCATCCAGATTAAACTCAACACTATTGGAATGAAACTTGATAATCATTTGATAGACTTCTTCCAGATCCTCAATGGGCTCTGCCATTAGGTAGACCATGGATTGTTTAATTTCATGCGACTTTGGGCACAGTGCTAGTGGAAGCAAAATGAGGAAGCGATCCAATAGCCCTTGTCATTTATCTATTCTGGAGAAAGGGGTTTTTGTGTCGATATCACTGGTCTCTTCTGTGGCGTAGTGGAAGGACATTCGTTCACCCCAGAAAAGCTTGCAAAGAAGCATGTTGTCTCCAGAACACATTTCCTCGTCTGATTTGAAAAGTTCGTTTAAGACATCAGACAACTCAGGATAAACAATAAACCCAGTCCCGTTCTTTGCTAGATGTTTCACCAACCGTGACAAAGTTGGTCCATCAAGGAGACAACCTTTCATATTGTCTTGCAGGACATTTTCCATTGGTTCGAGGCATCCATGCTCAATAGCTGAGGATTTACTAAATATTGTATACATGTTTGTGGGAAGTATGGGATTCTCACTTAATATAGTGACTTTAGCTCTGGTCAGGGAATAGTAGCCAGGATTGTTGACAGGAGATAACTGATACAGGTGTTGACTGACACTGGTTGCTTTATATTTGACGAAAGTGTTAATATTTTCAGGCATTATTTTGCATAGTCAAATGACAAGGTGGACAATCTTCTCTGGAGATGCAAAGAAAGAGATGACTCTGTTGCTCATGTTCATCACATTTTACAATACTTATTGCAAGGGGGGGGGGGGCTATGAAATATGTTGCCTCAATAAGGGGGGGATAAAATGATTTTGTTAGAAAAATAAGGGGTCATGAAAAAATTTTGCTATTCATAAAAATTTCCTCCGGCCCCGTACCTGGCATTAATGACTTGTCCCTAACTAATTAACATTAATTTGTTAGTTTTATGATTTTTCCATTGTTAGCCTCTGTTACTTTCCAACCATTGCAGCACAACAAACATCAAATTTGCATAACCAAGCATCAAAATTGCCATCATCAAATTTGCCGGGGATTTGATTGCAGAAATTGTAGTATTTTCCGCTGCCACCAAATGTAATGTGCCGAGCAAATACAACAGGCAGCATGATCTAGATCCAACTTAACTTTATTTCTTTTACATCCCATCTTTATAATCTAGTGAGCTATAATTACATTATCATGGATGTAGCTTGCAAAATAAAGCATACACCATTAATTAATTAATTAATTACACATTCTTATCTGTTACACATACACTGTTAACCGTGAGTCTATTACTTGAAAGTTTCTGCAATTATTATTCCTTACAACAGCATGCCCTCAAGCAAACATCCCAAGAGCACATATGGAGGGAGTATTGTTTCCAAATCTTGTATGTTTGGCTTCGTGCAATGGTATCGACTTTTTCAATGAATTAGCAGTGTCAACATCTGTTTTGGAACTTAACAGGTGGAGAAGTGTTGAGTCCTTTCTACAGATTGTATGTGATGTAGGCCCAACACAGTTTACTTGCAAATGAGGAGAAGAGATAGAAGACAGGTTCACTATCCTTTTACTTTCTGTTTCCTTTACTGAGTGAATTAACCATGCATTTTGGATGTGAGTCTGTTCATGAGAGTTGTATAGACTATTATTCCTGGTAAGAACATGCCCCAATGTAATAACTCAAAGCTAAAGAGAGCTAACTTTCTTTTCTGTAAATAATTCCATTGTATATAGGGACACTTCAAGTTGCACAGGCTTAGCTAATTATGTGCCATGTACTTTAGATTTGTATAAACAAATTATTATGAGGCTTTTCTTATGCCAATTTCTTGTGTGGTCTAGCGGCCAGTAACTTTTAATGCTATTCCCGCAGCCCAAAATGTGAAAATTTCTTTGCCAAGTTTGAACTCATAATTTTGAGGGCCGAAGAAGATCTGTTGGTGTATAAATGGGAATTGGAGAAAGCTGACAGACTCTTTCAGAGGATGCAAAAACTGTTGTTGATGAGGCAACTCTCAAGAGGTCTACCACCATCGCTGAAGCTGCTGGATCGAGCATAACCCCCACTCCTACACTGGACGAAATGATTGAGTTTACTCAATGATTTCATGCTTTTGGGTGTCCAATAGCAGCAGAAATTCTGCCTGTTCAAGTTGATGCTGTTGCTCAGTTTTCTTCTCCAGCCGACCCACAGTTGAAATAACTTATTACCATGGTTGCTGGCATCGCAGAGAAACAGCAAGCACTAGAGAACCACCTGCAATGTACGGGACAATCTTACACATACTTCAAGTCATCCCTAGCCACCTGGATCCTGTTGTACATGCGGTTTACCAGGTCATTTTGCTCTGGATTATACACAACAGTGAGGCCTTCTTCAACAGCGGACTATCATTTGTTTTAACTGCGGTAAATTGGGGACGTTGCACAAGATTGTAGATCACTGTGTCATTTAAACTCCTAAAAGATAGACGGAAAATTGGTGGAGATCACGCCCATCCTGTCGTAAGTACAAATGTTATTGATAAATGTCCTATTATCCACCCGTTTGTTGATTGTTTTGTGGATGAAGTCCGTGTTTGTGCTCTTATTGACTCTGGTTCCATGAAATATTTCATTAGTCAGTCTGTACAGCGAACAATTGACTTTGACAATCGTAAATTAAATAAGTCTCAGAAAGCCAAATGTGTTTCCATAACAGGACACAATTTATGTCCTAATTTGGGCCTGCAAGTCAGTCATGTATATTATTCTTGTTCTTGTTATAGTATTGTAATATGGCGAAACTAATAAATAAATAAACAATGTAAATATTGAAGGTCACATACTGCTAATACTGCTAAATTTTTATGAACTTGTGCACACTTAAATAATAAAAAAACATATGATTGTGTTGTGGGCTGGGACCTCATCAGCCAAAATAATTTGCCATTATGCCAAGATGTTAATTTAGGTAACTATATTTTAGTAGGTAAGGGGTGGACCATTTGACTTTTGAGAGGGGGGTTGGAAGATTTAAAAAACAATTCCCTGTAACCCAAGGAGAAAGAAAAAAATCATGCAGCATACAATTGAGAAAAAAAATCATGCAAAAGAGAGCACTCAAAAAAATTCCTACATGTAATCCACTGACACTCTTCACTTTAGTTCAGTATTGTGTCCACAGACTTGCAATTTTGAGCAGGCACATGAATGAACACAGGGTGAACAGTGGACAACATCACAGGGATTCTACAGCCTTTAGAGCCTCTAACATATGATAGCCAGTGGCATTCCCTGGAAAAATTGTTGCCCCCCCCCCCTGAGAAAATCTGGGCTTAATAAGATATGTGCAAGTTTATAAGTTATTTATACATATCTAATATGCATCGTAGAAAAAGTATTTTTGGATGGTTGAGTCTGTGACTCTGTGTGTTTTTTTTTTGATAACATAGCCCCAAACTATTAAAGCTTCAAAGGCCCATCTACAGGATGCAAGTTGGTACATACCGTATATACGATGATTTTATTGCAAAAATTCCAGTGTAGACCCGATCCGATCCGCAACAAGCTATCTGTACGAACGATTAAATAGCTACAGAGCTATATTTGGTGGAACATTGTTGTTTCGGAAGGCAGTTAAAAATCGCGTTATTGAAATTTAGTTTTATTACATATTAATCAAAGCTCATTTTGTGATTTTCCATTGTTTAAAATAAGGGACAGTAAGTGTTCCTAAGGCCTAGTACAGCAAACTTGTTGGACAAATCCATGGCTGAAAACGCAGGAAATAGCATTTCCGAGGTTCAAATTTTAAAGTTTTCTTGGGGGAGCATGTCCCGAAACTCCCAAGGTTACAGGTCATTCATATACTGTACCCTCCCCTAATTTTCGAGTACTCTCATCTATCCCTACATGTTTTAGGTTTTGGTGCAGTTATACATTTTTTGTAAGTAAACTTGCATGCTTTAGTGTGGGGAACATTAAGACATAACATAAAATAAAGCACAGTGAAAATTCCTTGGCCCCCCTCTTGGGATTCAGTTCTCGACCTCCTCTGATTGAAAACCCTGGTCTGATGATAACTATATCAAAGCCTTAGGTTACTGTAAGCCGTTATTATGGGAGGCAAAAAAATCCTGCCGAGAAATATATTGGGAACAAAAATCTTGCGCTGCACTTTTACAAAAGGATCTGTCTTGTTCGCCTGAGTGGAAAAAAAATCTTGCACAGTCTGAATCTTCCACCCCCTCAAAGGTCAAATGGTCCGCTCGTTTGTGGTGTAACCCCCATCATTATCTCGCAATCGTCTGCTATGACAGATCGAGCAGTAGTTGAGTCGAATCCCCAAATTGCGCATGTGAATTAGCAAGCCAGTTGTTATACTTTCGTATGTTATAATTTCATTTATTTGTGAATCAAATAATGTGTAAGGATAAAGATCAAGTAAGACTAACTAACAAAATCAAAGATGGCGATCCTATTTAACTATGTGGCATGCAAATTCGTATCCATATATGGTAGTCCACAGGTATACCATGACATCCCTCTTTTTCTAAGCAGAATTGGACCACGTCAAAAACTAAATGTTCAAATGTCAATTAATTGTTCACTAATTAAAAGTTCACTAATTAAAACTAACTAAATGTTCAATAGCGATCATAACTGTTCATCATTCATTACAATAATATAACAAGATTGTCAGATTAAGCTATTAACTAATTCCATAGATTAAAGATCCATATAGAAGGGCCACTTACGTCGGAAGCTTTGAAGTTTCTGTCCTCACGCATGTCGCATTACGCATGCTGGCCGCCATTTTCCTAGCCAGTCAATGACATTTTCTGGCCAATAAACACGCTGTACTGGCTGGCTGCTCCACCTTCTGGCCAGTAAACTGCATATTTTTGCATAAAAAAACGCAGGCAAGTTGCACCGCTGAGTGGGTCCTTCTGTTTCTTATCTTTATTCTGTGCTAATTCTCTAATTGTTTATTATATTCTATAAATTCAATCTGTCCGGGCGTTTAGTAACACGGGTAGATCTTCTCAGCTTCGGGGTTGGAACATTCCGTGTCTCTTCAACTTTGGGTGGTGAAGCTGGAACACTGGTATTATTCGGGAATGACGATTTAGTTGCAGTAATGCTGGTAGTTGGACTGTCACCAACACCTTGATTGGGTGATTCAACAGACGGTCGAATATGTCGACGATCCCGCTTTAAAGTGCTACCACTAGGCATATCAAGAATATATGATTTTGGTGTTTGTTCTTTGTCCTTAACAACACCTGTTTCCCATTTGTGATTAAAGGGGTAGGGTACACGTTATTAGTTAGTCTTACTTGATCTTTATTCTTACAAATTTATTTGATTCACAAATAAATGAAATTATAACATACGAAAGTATAACATGGTGTCAGGAATGGGATATCTTTTGAGCTAGAAAATAAAGCAGAACATTGGTTTACCAGGCCAGTAAACCCATGATACAGTTTATTTGATCGAAGTATGGCTGAACTCGCTGGACTTCCAAGCCCTCGCATGGATTGGAACATGGCCAATCTACCTCAAGCGTTGAAGAAGTTCAAAGCTACTTGTGAACTGTACTTTTCTGGACCCTTAAAAGAGAAGAGTGAAGGCGAGAAAATAAGCTATCTGTTAATATGTTTCAGAATCTGGTATAATGCCAGACATGGCAAAAATTGAAGCTGTCAACAACATTACTAGCCCTCACAATATCAAAGATATTCGCAGTTTCTTAGGTCTCGCTGGCTATTACTGCAAATTCATTCCAGGGTTTTCGTCTATTGCAGCTCCATTACTACAGGAGAGACAAAAAGCAGTGTGATTTAATTGGACTTGCGAACAAGCGTTTCAGCGTGTTTAACATGTATTATAATCTGTCCCCATTCTGGCATAATCTGACTTCGGTCAAGAGTTTATTTTGCAAATGGATACTTTTGATTATGGCATTGGTGCAGTTTTGTCACAACTTGATGCGTTAGGAAATGAGAAACTATTCCCTTATGCATCAAAAGTTCTTTTCCTTCAATATCAATGCATTGTAAGATGATACATTTTCTGTGTGTTGGTGTTATGTACTCAGGTGAATATGATGTTTGTGGTGTAACTCTGAGTGTGCATCGACACCGGGTAAGCTAAAAAGTTTGCCTGAACACGGTGGCAATTGGGAATTGCTATTACATTTTGGCCCAATTTCCTATAGGATCCTATAGGAATTCCTATAGGAGGAAATAGAGACGCTTTCGTGCCTTTGATATAATTTGGTCAATGTGATTGTTCCATTTCAAATTGTTAGAGACCGTCAGACCAAGGATTTTAGCACTGCTGACCACTCCCAACATTTCTCCATTTACTATAATAGGGTCAAACATTGCTCTTGGTTTGCAGAATCCGATTCGTAACTCCTTGCATTTAGCTTCATTAAGTTTGAATTGGCTCTCAGAGATTTGTCTTGTTAGGTCATCTATAAGGGTTTGAACTTTACTTTCTTCGTTTTTCCCAACAATTTTGTCTAAAGTTGTATCATCCACAAATTTCCACATATTACTATCATTAATCTTTAAGTCATTTATCATTATGATAAACAGCCACAGCCCCAACTTAGTGCCTTATGGAACACCAGCTGAAATGTCGGCCCAATCTGAATAAGAATTTTGATTTAGTTTGACCCATTGTTTTCTTCCTGTGAGAAAGTCTCTCATCCATTTAAACACCCATTGAGGTAAATCATACGTCTTTATTTTGGAAAGTAGCAAGTGGTGGTCGATGAGGTCAAATGCATTTTTAAGTCGAATAGTATAACTCTAACTGTTGCCCCCGTTCCATCTGTGGCTGCGTTCCACTTATGAATCATACTCAGGAGGGTGAACACGGGGCTTGATCTTGGGATCGCACCATATTGATTCGGATCAACTCTACGGAGCATGGCTGGTTTTACGAATTCGTCGACAATATAATCCTCTGCCACTTTAGAAATTATGGGTGTCAGCGAGATTGGGCGCAAGTCTTTGTTTACTTCTTGAACTGGTTTCTCTTTGGGGATTGGAACGATGTCTGCACATTTCCACGATTGAGGGAGACTCGCTTCTTGGTAGGAGCTGTTGAGAATATCCGAAATTGGAGCACCTAAAATGTCGGAATTCTCCTTCAGCAACCAGGCCGGGATACCGTCAGGTCCTGTTGCTTTAGTTTTAATTACGTTGGCTAGCTTCTTGCTGACAGACATTTCAGATACGTGGTACGATCATATATTTTCTATTGGTATATCATCACCAGTTTCCGGAAGTAGAGCATCAAAATCTTTTGTAGGTTCTAAAAATGTTTTGTTGATCATATTGGCCAGGTCTTCCAATTCAGTTGGATTGTTTTCGGATCCACAATCCAAGTTCCGTAAGAGAAAGATTGGGTCTACTCGAACCTGTCACGAGATACCGCTCAGTTTTTTGGCTTCTTTCCACCACTCCGCCCGTGAACAGGTTTTTAAATATTCAACCTTCGATGAATAAAATTTTCCTCGGCACGACTTGCATTCTCGATTGACTTGGTTTCTTAAGGATTTAAACAGTGTCTCATCACCACGAGCTAGAGCGGCTTGTCGGTGTAGGATCAATTTTTTTAATGCTTGAGAGGATCCAAGGGGGGTCATTGGAGACATTCAATTTGGATTTTAAGGGTAGTAATGCATCTTGTCCATAGTTAATTATTGATTCGAGCATTTCTACCCTTGCATTACATGAGTTTTGCATTTCGATTAGGCCCTTAATATCCACTTCTTCTAAGTATTTCCACATTATCAGCTGTTTCGTGGGTCTCAAGTCCCGGGAGATCGTATAAAATTTCGCCTTTCGTTGAATTTCAACTGATAAATGGTCGGAGAGGCCAAAAGGTGGACGTTTAGTTGGTTCATCATAAAACTGTTTCATGTTGGTAAGTACCAGGTCAAGGAAACTAGAGCCACAAGTTGGAAATTTGACGATCTGGCATAGTTTGAAACTATTTTTCAGTTCTGGAAAGGTTTAGTTTATTGAAGTCTCCAAGGATTATTATGCCACAATTGGTGAATCGTGCCTCAATTGTTGTTAAAGCCTCGTACAAGTAGTTAATTAAATCCTGATCGTTTCCTCTAGGGGGGTGGTAAAGATTGCATAATATAATACATGTTATACCTCTTGGGAGACGTAGAGTAGAGGTTTTAGCTTTAGCCAAATGGCTTTGAAATCGTTGCTCACAAGCTCTGATAAAATATCGTACTTTATAGCATTTTTAATGTAGACACAGATGCCACCGTGTTCGCCTTGATATCTATCGCGTCGTACAATTTTGTAACCGGAGATTTCGACGACATTATCGTGTATATGATTTTGGAGCCATGACTCCGTTATAGAGATGAGATCTACATCAATTTGTTTAGATACCTCACGAAGTTCATCAATTTTAGGAGCGACAGACATCACGTTGGACAACAAGATCGAAGGAACAAATAGATTTGGAGACCTAGGTTTTTCTTGTGCTTTAGTTTGAATAGCTATGCAGTTTTTAGGATTATGGCCAGAGGGGCGGTAGCTTGAACGTGGGTCAGTTCTGACTGGTATAGTATTATCATTCGGTAACATTGGCGTACAGACCCGATCTAATAAAGACCAGGTGGTCTCGTCGGGAAATCCATTAAAGAGGGGGGATATATACCTGGAATGGGCTGATGAAAAGTTGGAAGTCTCGTAGTAAGTGGAAAAGTTTGGAGATCATCGATCAGCCCGGCATCCCTGATTGGGTCATTAGACCATAATTCTCATGGTCCCCTACGAGAGAAATTGGAAGTTAACCCTACTACCCCCTTCGGATGCCCTAATACACTTACTATTATCAGAAACAATTTTGTCTCCCCTCCCCCCCTGATGTCAGAAATTTCCTCTGTGGGGGGATCTTTTCTGGAATGACCCATTCTAATATAATTACACTAATATAATTATACTATTATATTACTAATATGATACTAATATAACTATACTAATAATACTACTAATGTAATTATTATTTATACCAATATATTATTATTTAACCATAGGTTAACCTGAGCTAGGAGTGCTAATCATGGTGGTGAAGATGCTAATCATTATTTCAGCAATGAAGGTGCAGTTGATTGGCAATGGAATGTTGTGCGTCGAGCAAAATAAAATTTTTGTAGGCTTAGGGAAGCACATCACATATCGGTTTTTGTCCATGAGAAACATATGGACGTTTCTCACATCATATGGACGTTTCTCTGGAGATACTCACCCCCACCCTTAGAAATGCTACAAACTGTTTTTGACTCTATATAAATACACTTATGAAAATGCTGGAGTGTGTATACTTGTAATGTTTACTGCATACGTGGCAGTCATGCAATAGTTTATTGAATATAATTAACTAGCTATTTTATAGACACATATATAATGAGGTGCATGCATATTAGATAAAGGTCAGGATATTACATCCCTTGCAACTTAATTTAGAACATCGCTATATTTTTAATAATAATTCTACATACTATAATAATTGTGGGTTTTTTTTTCTTATTTCCTAATTGTCTATAATCTATATAAAAGGTCCATTTAAGTTCAAACAATTAATTTAAAGTTATATTCATGTTCAACGTGGAACATATTCCTTAAGGTATGCTGATTTCCGTCTCTCCCTTCTCGGTCGTTCTTTTTTAATGTTTCTTGGTTCAATGTTTGTTGTTTCTACATTCTGTTCTGCTCGTTGTGGTTGCGTTTCTTTCTCCACTTGCATTTGATTCCCTTCAGGTTTTATTTCACTAATATTGGAATGATCTTGTTCTTGCATTTGTACTTCGGTTGTATTCTTCTCTGGAATGTTTGTTGGATTCTGATTTTGAATCACTGTCTGTTTTGTTTGTTGCTCATCTCGGTTTCGATATATCACCAATTTCTCTTCCCACGAAAGTTCATCTTCATTAATAGTTCCCATCACAGAGTTCACAAGCTTAAATTGGCTTGCATCACGACAAACCGTTCGTCCATCTGTCGTTCAACATGCTAATATTTGTGAACCTAGTATTTTATACGGTGTTCAGTTCATACGGTGTAGTCCATTTGTTCTTCTTTGGTCACTTCATCAGCATGTAATCACCAAGTAATAATGAAGTTTTCTTCGTTTGCTTCCCTTCTCTGCATTTCTTCATTTTCTGTTTGTAAACCGCATCTCTTTGGTCGATCTGCTGGTCGAATTCTGTATTCTCCGACTTTGATTCTACATGATCCATTTTGGTTCTTATAGTTGCTCTACTCATCGCTTCATAAGGTGTTAGCCAGGATTTCAAAAGTGGCCGTCCAAAATAATTTTGTGGGCGTGGCAACATATTTTTTAAAACAGCAGTTTTCACATTATTCTCCTTGATACTTCATGCGAGAATCATCAAGATGGTTACAAAAACATGACGCGTTTTACAAAAATATGGAGCGAAGTACTCAAGAAATATTACAAAGCTTGTACGTTGCTATTTAAAGAAAATATTCCCTTAGGCCGTCCATGGCTGTCCATTAAAATTTAGCCGTCCAAATTCAGAAGTGGCCGTCCATAGGACGGTGGGACGGCCGCCTGGCTAACACCCTGCTAACACGTGTGGTGTCGATCTGTATGTCTATCAAGACAATTTTTTTCCTTGAAGGTTAGCTACTCTTTCCATCTTGTTTAACATCTGCATAAATCGTTCTGCTTCACCATTTGCTCGAGGGTGCAATGGCATTATGTTATGTTCAAATCCTTCTTCTCGTCCAAACTCTGTAAGAGGCTGTCTCCGTAAAAACCTCCAGGTCAATATGGGGCTCAAAAATAGATTTCTCTCATACTCTAGTATTTTCAAGATCTATCCTTGGGAACAACTAAAATCCATTTCATTTTACTCAATTTTCCTTTAAATTATTTTTGGGGGCGATTGATGTTCGATCGGCTGGTAACCAACTTGAACTCCGAATGAAGGCAAAATATCAACATATTTTCAGCGCTATTTTTAAAATCAAATTCATACCTAAATTTCAAAATTTTTGCTCAGAAATATAGACTTATCCTTCTATTTTCGTTGGTGATATGACTTAGATAATTATTCTTTGGTATAAAATAGAAAACAGCGCAGTTATTGACCCTCCTGTACAGATAACAGATATCGTCTCAAAATATATCAACTTCGAAAGCTTATTTAAAAATCGTGGCACTTGATTGGCACATGACTTTAACTTTTCTATAAACTACTAACATTAGTCAAACAAATCGCCCATAATATCTTTCTGATCTACCATTTGACAAAAATGACAAGCGCACAAACTTTGTAAAATTTGAAAATGTGTCGAAATCGACCATACTTTATCGCATACTTCAGAATTAGTCATACTACAGGCATAATTTTCATTGGTTTGTTTACCCTAAACTGTTATATAAAGTTTCGTTTTATAGAATGTACGAATTAATCTCGGGGAAAACTCCTAACCGAAAGAAATGTACTCGCTGAGCATAAACATGTCAATCAAATGACGATGAAATGTTTCGTTGCTCTCTGATTTCCCTTTCTTTGTATTGAATTAAATAGTAGTCTTAGACAGTATTGCACGAAGTTTTTGTGTTTACAATAATGGTGTTGTACTTCTATGTTCTACTACAGCCGCAATTTGTGATCACGCAACGTTAGGTAAACCTAAACGATTTCGACAGACAGTAGATTTTATGTTGACAGATGAGAATGACGGTAAGCAATAATGTAGAAATGTTCCTTTTCTACTTCTGAGCGTGGAAAATTCCGAGACACAGTAGACTGTTCTTCGAAGTTGCTGGCGTGTAAGAATGACATTAGTTATCACTTGCAAATTTGTCACCCTTTAAAGCTTGTCAGAAAGAAGAATATAAATTAATTCTAATTTTCAGAACCTTTCTAATTGTTACTGAAAAAAGGAATAACATTGATTAAATAACTGAGACGTTCAAATGGGTTACAGCTGTTTGCACTGAATTGTTTTGTATTATATCAAAATATTCGCATATTTTTATACAATAAGAAATAATATAAATTCTTGAAGCATAGCCTTGAGCAAAGTGACCGAGGGTCAGCTTGAAAAAATTGATTTTTTATACAGAACTGCAACTTACTTGAATTCTATTTTCATTGATAATTGTTTCTAAACCTAGAGACAATTCAGTTAATAGAAAACCATACTGAGCGAAACTAACGAAATATTGACATTTGACATCACAGCAAGTATACATTTCTGATTTCTGTCAGCCAGGGCCCGGGGTTTTCCCCGAGATTTAATTCGTACATTCCAACGAAACTTTTATAAAACAGTTGAAAAACGATGAAAATTCTGTCTGTAGTATGACTAATTCTGAGTTTTCCAATTTCATTGAACATTGTTATTTGTTAAACGGGTAAAGGTATTTGTTAAAGAGGTAAACAAAGCGAACAGAGCGAAGATTGTATAGTATGTCACAATCAGGACTTGTGGCATTGAGGCGTGCAGAAGACACTGGACACACTGGCATTGAATGACTCTGTCGGTGAAGCCAAACTGTACTCAAACAATTTGATTCAAGTGCCAAACCAAAGAATAATGATGAAAGACATATATTTACATAATCAAGCTTCATTCAGTGTAGTGTAAGTATGCTCGATTTCGATACATTTTCAAATTTTACAAAGTTTGCGCGCTTGTCATTTTTGTCAAATGGGTAGATCAGAAAGATATTATTGGCGATTTGTGTTGACTAATGTTAGTAGTTTATAGAAAAGTTAAAGTCATGTGCCAAATCAAGTGCCACGATTTTGAAGTAAGCTTTCGAAGTTGACATATTTTGAGACGATATCCGTTATCCATTCAGGAGGGTCAATAACTGCGCTGTTTTCTATTTTATACCAAAGAATAATTATCTAAGTCATATCACCAACGGAAATAGAAGGATAAGTCTATATTTCTGAGCACCAATTTTGAAATTTAGGTATGAATTTAATTTAAAAAATAGCACTGAAAATATGTCGATATTTTGCCTTCATTCAGAGTTCAAGTTGGTTACTAGCCGATCGAACATCAATCGCCCGCAAAAATAATTTAAAGGAAATTTGAGTAAAATGAAATCGATTTTAGTTGTTCCCAAGGATAGATCTTCAAAATACTAGAGTATGAGAGAAATCTATTTTTGAGCCCCATCTTGACCTGGAGGTTTTTATGGAGACAGCCTCTTAAATTCTCAGGAGTTGAATGGTGGTCCGTTGTCTGTTTCTACTCTTCTTGGCATATTGTAGGTGGCGAAAATGTGCTTCATTCTCTCTTTGTTTGCTGGGAAATTGGTTGAGAGTACCAATTCTACTACCGGGTAGCGTGTTCTCTTGTCAATCATAACAAGGTTATAATGACTGTCCGGATACGGTCCCCCATGGTCGACTGACACTGTATCCCATGGTTTGCTTGGAATATTCGTCACTTTGATTGGTTCTTCTCGATGATCTTTGGTTGTTACTTTGCATTCATAACACTGATCAATTGCTGTGTCGATCATACTGTTGTTCATGCAAGGGGAACCAGTACTTCTCTCTCAGCATCTGTTTCATTTTCGTCTTTCCCAAATGTCCCAACTTTATGTCCTAACGAATATTTTCAACGCTTGCACCGATGTCTCCTATTCTTTCAAAGGTTGTTGCAGGTGGTATGCCACATGTCTGGGTTTCTGTGCTACCGGTATCGCTTCTGGGTCGATTTCTAATTTGACTTCGATTTCTTCTCCTGTGTTCTTGTCTTGAATGCATCCAATTCCTTCAAAAACTTCTTTATATTCGTCAAGGATTGCTTCCACATCACCTGTTGCTTTCACGGAGTGTATTCTAAGTTTATTTGTCTCTTTCAGGGTTCCTTGCGGTTCTATCTTAAGCATTCCGAGTTCAATCAGCGTGTTCTTGCATAACAGCGGTGGTGAATCCATTTTGCCTTCGATCACCAGAAATTTACTTGTTGTGCCCCGATTACAGTTTCGTAATATGGTCCTGAACTCGCCTTTTACTGCCAGTGTGGATTGGAGTGTCTTTAAGGTGTCGTTGCTCAGTTCCAATTCTTTGATGGACTTTCGGTCTGTGTTGAAGAGCTCTGAATTGGTACTCGTCCATTATGTTTGCACTTGCTCCGCTGTTTGGTTCGACGCTTGCATCGATGTCTCCTATTCTGATCAATACAGTGTCCTGGTTCTTGCCTGATCGCACTCTCTTTACATGGTGCGACACATGTTTGACTAATTGATATATAAATTCGTCGTCTGAGTTGCTGCTTGTATGATCATCCGACATTTTCTTGATGTGCTTCTGAGAGTTTCCACCCCGGTGGTCTCGGTTTCTGTTGCTCCATCCACGTTTCTCACTTTTACCGCTCTTGCAACATGTTGAGAAGTGATTGTACTTGCCACACTTTAAACATTGTTTTCCGAAAGCTGGGCAATTCTGGCCAGGTTGGTGACTATCTGTTTTTCTGCAGTAGCCACACATCTTTCCAGGCTTCTTCCATTCTTGCTTTGCCTTTGGCCCATCACGTTTGGTGTATGATCTGTGTCCTTTCGCTTGTTTCCCACCAGTGGATTTGTAATCTTGTTTGTGATTTTCTGCTCATTGACCTATTCTTGCTACTTTATGGTCGTCTTTCATATTGTTGTCCAATATCTTTGCGTCGACTGGCTTCCTCGATAAACTGTTCTAAGTTCGATCATTTTTTAATGCATCTCTTAATAAGATCGTTGTCTTTGATAGTTTGGACCAAGTGTTCTAGAATTCTGTCGTCAGCTTGGTCTGCAAATTCACAATCTCTCGCTTTCTCATGCATTCTGGTTGCGTACGCGACGATACTTTCGTATGACTCCATTCGTTGTTTGCTAAACGTATATCTTGCATAGTGTTTGTTTTTCTTGGGTAGAAAATGATTGTTTAATTTCCTTTTTAGTTTCTCGTACTCATCATCTACTTCAATAGGTGGTGGGTCTGGTAGATTGCGTGCCAACTTTTTCAGTTCTTATCCACCATATATTTTGAGAGCGCTAATTTTGTCTCGTATTTCTCTTATCTCGAAATATGTTATTTCATCTTCGAAATCGTCAATCCATTCTTCCCATGCTCTGCCGACTTTTAAATGATTGTCTGGAATCTTGAACGGCTCTATTTTAAGAGTTTTGCTCGTTGCTATTACTCTCATATTGGTCTGCTCGTTGCTATTACTCTCATATTGTTCTGCTCTGCTGCTTCCCCTTCGGCCATCGGAATTTCGTCTCAAAGTCCGATTTCTTTTGTTTGCTTTTGCTTGGTTTATTTCTCCGGGTTTTTCTAAATGTCCATAGTAGATTCTTTGCTAACTCATCATCTATCTCCAAAATATTAAAACATTTGAACAAACTATTAAAATTTTCCATGATTTCTCACCAAGAAATGTTTCATTCTGTTTCATTGTACATAGTTTATCATAATTCAGAGACAAGATGTTTGTTGCACTTACTATAAATATGTCTTTCATAAATTCTATTTTATGTGTAAAATTAACTGGTAATTTCTAAAACACAATTCAAACATTACTGATGATAACAAAAACTGTTTCTGTAATAAATTGTCTCTTCCGCATAGAAATACTAGACACTATTTTTATCAAATTTTAACAATTTTAATTGTCTGCATATTGTAAGTCATACAAAATCTGCTGAATTTTCAATTTTGCTAATCGCAATTGCCTTTTGTCCATGTCTCTTAAGACTGGTATGAGACTACTACAGAATAGCTCTGCCTCATCTTTTTCACCATTTTCTTCTCTATCTTTCATTTTCTTCTTTATCTTTCATTTTCCCCAAATAATTAATCATCTTTTCATCCATACTCGTCACTTGGTCAAGAAATGGGTCATTTTGATCATTAGTAGTAGTACACTTTCCTTTAGCACATTTTGCATCATCAGAGATGCTGGAAGAACTGGAAGGAGATGGAACCAGAGCTTTGAGATGGTAAAGAAGATGATAGATCCGATGAATTATTTGATACTGCCTGAATTTCCAAATCAACATTGCTATGGGTTTCCAAGTTGTAAGTTTTCTCATGTAGAAATCTCATAACCTTGAAGTATTTGCAGGTTGGAAGTGCAGAAGCAGCTGCTCCAGACTTTGATAAAGCTCTTCTTTTATCAAGGCATTTTTTAATGAATCTTTGAGGTTCTTGAATACTTTCTGTAGGTATAAAACTAAGGGAAAAAATAAAATTTGTGTTCGTATCTCCCAGGGGCATACCCTGACAGTCACATAGCCAGAGGGAGGTGGGCCCCTCTGGCAAAATGGCACTTTACCAACTCTCGAATTTAAAAATTTTCCCAGGGGAGCATACCCCAGACCCCCTAAAAATTAGTAGTCCTATATTATGCATGGATAGCATGGGAGTCCAACTACATTTTCACATAATAAACTAACTTTATTTAAACTATGGCAGTTGGGCCCCTGGATTTCCCCCCCCCCCCCTTGACTACACATTGTACCCTTACATTCTTAGGATAGGGCTGGTTAGGCTGGAATACAAAACATTAAATCCATGAAAAATAATTTCTTGCTTTGAAATGAACCTCTAAAATAATTTTATTTCCCTTAGATACCTAAAACATATTTTTGACATTTTCTCCACTTTGGATAAAAAATTAATTCAGAGCTTCTTGAGCCCAATAAATAACTGTACAAGTGACATACCCCATAAAAGTAAATTTTGGCCACATTATGGACCCAATAAAGGAACCTAAGCTCCCCTATCCTGTGTGTAACAGAGTAGTCCCTCTTGGCGGATGCATCCTCTCGTTATTTTACAACAATAAAACAAAGCCTCTGTGGAGGCGAGAGGGATGCATCTATAACCCAGGTTGGAAAACTTGCTCCCAATCACAGCTACACTCATTAACAGTCCATGTCTCGCACCTTAAATTGGCCTTGCTAGCATTTGCCACCCAATGGACAAAAAACATTGCCTATGTTTGAGTTTTCGTGACTGGTTGAAGGCCCAGCCCTGGCTATGACTCTGGTTTCCCAACCTGGTCTAAGTATGTTCTAAATATAAATATCAAACTGTCTGCCATCTTTTAGCACAGAAAAGTTATTGAAAACAAAAAGGCCTAATGTCCACATTGTGTCATTTTTCAATTATCATAAAACTATTGGTGTTGTAAAAATGACTGCATGAATTTGTTTACAGGCCTGTAAATATAGCCACAGAGCGAGTCGATCTATACCTACCTTCCTGATTGAACATTTGAGACAAAGATTTCCTCTGAGGACTTGCAAAAACAATTCCTTATCAAATTCTCCACTTTCCTGCACCACATTTTCAACTAGAACATTTTCACCGTCTTGTGTGGCAGCCATTTTGATTTTTGAGCACAAGGTTTAAACTAATCTTATTGGTTGAAAATATGATGATTGTCAAGCGTTTGACGAAAAGTAGAACGGGTTCTACTTTTCGTTGAACGCTTGACGATTCTTGACGATCTCTTTGACGATCATTTATTTTCTACTGTGCACGTTTGTCGCAAAATTGTGGAGATCTGCCTTTCAAAATCAATCTCCTTTCAAGCTGTTAGTCTATGGAACAGACTGAGCCTTGAACTAAAAATTAGTAGAACGTTTAATGCGTTTCATGCAAGTGTCATAATGTGATTGTTTATGTATTTTTATGTGAACAATTATGCTATAGTGAACAGTTACTCTATAGTCATGTTTTTGTGGAATTTGTTACTTAGGTAGTTACACGACCACATCAGCTATGCTGTAAAATTATCATGTTAAAATAAATGCTTTTATTATATATGTCATTGCCACTATCACTGTTACTGTTTAAACAGGAAGTAAAAAAGTCAGTTAAAAGCATGGTTTATAACTACAAGGAAGGTGATTTTAATTCCCTCTGTGCTACTTTAACATGTCTTCCATTGTTAGATATTGTGGAAAAAGAAAGTGATATCAACACTGCTTGGGCTAAATGGAAAGATCTATTCCTCGCTGCTGTTGATTCCTATAAGGCTCCTTACATCACACAAGAAATTATTCACACCTTGAATAAGAAGGAAACACAGAAGAAAAAGAGCCAAGTCGACCAACTCTCCTTATATTTGGGAACAGTTTCGATAGCTACGACACAGTATCTCACTTGATAAGATCTAAGAAGCGTTAATACATTTCCACCCTAGTTTTCCACTAGGTGGAATTTTCTGTGCGGAATGAATTTTCCATCCGAAAAGGCTATTTGAGCATGCGCAATAGCTATGTAATTTTTGAGATTGATGAAAAGCGTTTTCTCTTGGACGTTCAAGCCAATCGGACTTTTTCCGCTTTCCACCCGTCAAAGAAACAACATGATGAGTGAAGAAAGCTTCTACTATAAACTCGTCGAAAGAGCTTCTTGCTAGGTCACAACAACAACAAGAACTTAATGAACTGGATGAAGGATCAGTTACTGAACTATTTGTTCACATACAACCGCAACAACAAATGGGAAACACATCTCAAAGTATTCCAAATACTGCAACAGAATCCACACAGCAAGGTTAACTCCTCATTTATTGTCTTATATCCACTTATATGTGTAATCAATTTTGCATGCATTCTTAACTTGTAAATCTAGATAGTTTTGGAGGCACAGTAATTGGGGTAACCTGTTGTGTCCACCATTTTACCTGTATCTTGTGGTAAATAAAGTGATTTAAAGATTAAACATACATATTTTGGTAATTTCCTCGCTTTATCTTCTCAATATATTGTCTTTGATTTCAATAATTCAATTGATTTTGATCTTATTGATTTGAATTTTGAATACTATATACTTGTATTTATACTGAGAATTTTCAATATAAACAGCAAATATGTAAACGTAGCTTGTAATGACATTAACACAAAGATATGAAATCCATTCATCATACATTATTGGTTATCCTAGTTTTTATATTAAAATTTCCTTATATTGTACAAAAAATGTTTATATCATAATTAAAGGAGTAATATTTCATTGTTTGGTAGCACTCTTATAGCCAACCCAGCAACAGAGCCAACTGTAGCACCTTTGACCAGCACAGAGGGAGGCAAAGCTAAAGAGGAAAGAGGAGTGTCAACAGATTTTGAGGTTGAGCTATTTATTGAAGAAATTCGAAAACTTGGGTCTCTGTGGAATACATCTCTGTCTTCCTATAAAAACAGATATGTGAAACAAAATGCATGGCAGATTCTCTCAAACATATTTAATAAAGATGGTAAGAAATCTATAATGAACAGTTTGAATAACTTAATATATGATTCAACCTAAATCAACATATTATATGTAATATGCTGTGTAATAATGTTTCTCATGTTGCTCTGAGTGTGTATCCAACACTGAGCAAGCTGGACAGTTTGCCTGACCATGGTAGGAATCGAACCACAGACCTTGGGGATACTAGTCCAATGCTCAACCAACTGAGCTATGAGATCAAGCCAGTTTGAGTTGGTAATATTTTGGAACTGAGTCTAGTTCCTTCAATATCAATGATATTTATAAGTAATAGCATAAAAAGAGGTGAATTAACCATTAAAATGTCCCGCCCGATGAGGGTCATTCAGTAAAATTCCCTTGGGTGCTCCTCAATGAGGGTCATTTAGTAAATAATGGTAACAATTTCCTCACATAATACAAATATACAGCATGTAATACAAATATACCGCACGTAATACAAATACACTGAAAATATGCGAACTTTGCAAGGCTATATTTTCTGTATTTTACAACATTTTGCAACCAAATTTTGCAATTTTACTAATTTCATTATTTTCTTTTTAACTGTTGTGTTTTATTCCCTTCTTTCTCTTAGATTAAAATTTAGTCTAACATGCAAGTTGTCGATTGTTGAATACAACTTTATTCTGGACTCTCTACACTTCACACAATCGTCTTTATATTCAATACGAATATTCACAAACTATGACACATCATGTTTATCCCCCAGCCAACGGCACAGAGCGCTGTTCCCGGGGCGAGGGCACTAATTCCGGGCGTGGTGTATGGGTGGTCATCTCACTGATATCAAAATATGGCTGTTTGCCAGGAGGTGAAGAAGGGGAAAATATAAAAAATACATGTAGCAAAGCTTGGAAAATCATTTCACATAACAAATTGTAAAACTTTTTTTCAATTTTTAAATGTAAACATTTATAAGAATTGATTTAGTATGAGAAATCCTAAAGTATAGCCTATAGGGCAAGTTTGTTTCAATCGTTTATGTATGACTTTGTATGTACTATTTACAACATGAGCGGCTGTGTTGTATCGGATATACAAGCTCTATCGGATATACAAGCTCAAGCTGAAGAAGACGAGAGCTTGTATATCTGATACAACACAGACGTGAATGTTGTAAATGTCTTGTGAAATTCATGTAGAAGTATTAAATATAGGTGTGCACTTTAAGAGAGTTTTAAATGTTCTGTTTAATTTGCTGATATAATCTTATATATCTTTTGGATAGGAAAATTATTTTGGTGCTGTTTTGTCATTACTATTCAAGTACTCTTATAATTCATGTGCTGTGTAGGTAGTTTGAGTATGCCCATGGGATAGATGCATTGTGTGTATGGCTAACTAATGAAAATTGATTCAAAACTTGTGAGATAAACTCCTTTTTCATTGTAAGTCGTCGTGAGTTGAACTGACCCTCTAAATGGGAGATACACGTTTTCGAGATCAGAAAAGTATAGAGGAAGAGGTTTCAAGAGGCTATATGAAATGGGCTATGAAGATATTGGAAGATTGGCAGGAGTTGTGTCAATAAAGTAGCAAAGAAAGAGTCATTTGGTTTAGAGTGCAAGAGGTCAGAATATATTCAAGATTTAACAGTGAATATTCACGACATGTCAGCTGCATCCATAGACGGATTTTCATATTTTTTACTGGGGTGGTGCCAGAAATTTTAGGGGGTGAGCCGTGAGCAGGTGACTGAAGCAACATAAAGTATTACCAAACCCCAGTAAGGTCTATATTGTAGGGGTGGAGCACTAGAGACGCGAGGGGGAGTCTATAGAGCAGAAAACAAAGTATCCCTGGAAAAATTTGAAAAAAATCACGATTTCTAGCTTCAAAAAATTTTTTTGAAGTTGTCATATCAATGGATTTGGCATGTCCGGTTGCCTGTTGAGACTTGAGAGAGTTAAAGTTAAATGAACCTGTAAAAGTGTAAACCCAATAGGCCAATGCAAGCTATTTGCATGACAAGTAACCTGAAGTTCAGGCCCTAATTTAGGGCCTGAATTTCAGGTTACATGACAAGGCACTGCAAACTCTATTCAGGGGAGATAATAGAGTTTCAAAACTTTACAATTGCTCCAATAAGCCAGTGAATGCAAGCGAGGAGTGATTAGTTTCAGATTATTGCACTGTCTTTTTCTATTTGAGTGTACTCCTACGTTTATTTTGTATCATCAACACTCTGCACGTTGGAGTGGAGTATTTAATTATTTTTTATTATGCCTAATATGGGGGGAGGTTGAAAATTTTTTGGGAGGGGTGCACATTTTGTTTGGGGGGTTATAGCTAATATTGGGGGGAGTAGCACCCCCCTGCACCCCCCACAAAATCCGTCTATGGCTGAATCGCTTAACATCTGGCTAACAAAGTTTGTTGGTGAAGTTGTTAATCGTTCTGTCGAGAGGTATCCACGAGAACACTTTACCTCATTGTGGTATCAATCGACATCTACAGAATATGAATGGCGAAGACAGCTTCTACATTTAAGCAAAGAGAGACAAAAGTTAGTGCATGAAGTGTGAGAAGGATAATTTGATATGCATAAATGAGCGCACGGAAGCATGTGCATAGTTGAGAACACAAATCGCTGGTAATATTTTCCTTTTGTAAGTTTCGTTTTTCGCACACACAGATTTTCGACATTTCGTAAGGCATTAGATGCCGAAATGAGGGAAACCAACAAGGTGGGCATAGCCCAGGCACAGACTTTTGCGAATCAGCAACATCCTATTTGTTGACAACCTGATCATTTTTTATGAAAGCTTGTCAAAAACATTTCATGGTGGTTTGAAAAAACAAACATGCTATATAAAATATATATGCCATGAATGAACCAAATGAAATTCACAATTTGTGCTTGCAATCATAGTATCGTTTGTACATTGATAAGGCCAGGGAAGGCGCTGCCATGGCAGATGCATTTTATTTAAGACTGAATAGAGATGGAAGCTTTGGATACGAAAAAAGTGCAGTTGGCTTAAACACACTTAACAGTATTTTATTGGTAAGGTTATCTGCAAAGGCAGGTCTACCTCGTAAGACTTCGCACTGTTTGTGCATTACTTGTGCCACCAGGCTTTTTGAAAATTCTGTTGAAGAAAAAATAGCAAGGGAAAGAACAGGGCACATTTCAAACGTGTTGCCAGGATATCAGAAGCTGTAAGGAACAGACAATGTTAGCTAGCAAAGTTCTTAGTCCAGTATGCTCTACCAAACCCATTGTCAATGTTCAAAGCAGTTCAAGTAAGTCTGAAGGAACCTTAGCCGAGATGGGAAGATCAAGTGGTCTAGACGTAAAAATGACAGCTAAGAAAGATCTGGCTTTGTTTGAAGATTGTTTTAACGAATATGATATTGACATAAGCAATATTTTAGCAAGTAGTGATTTGTCCTCGAATTTGTCTTCAGAGTTGCCCTCGGTTTTGCCCTTTTCTTTGCAGTTTAGTGCAGCGTCAAGTACAAGTAGTTGTGTGGAAAATGTTGCAACTGGTACAACGTTTCATATAACTGTAAAATTAACTTTATTATGAACTCAAGCAATCAGTTTGAAATTAACTAATTAAGGTTTATATGTTGAGTTGCCAATATAACTGTAATAACAGATTGTATGTATGTGTGTGTGTGTGTGTGTGTGTGTGTGTGTGTGTGTGTGTGTGTGTGTGTGTGTGTGTGTGCGCGCGTGTGTGTGTGCGCGCGTGTGTGTGTATGTTAGAAAT